TATGATGTATCAGATATGCTAAGGAGATACAGAACAATGTCACAAAATCTTAAAAATAGAGAGTTGGATGAAAATAACAAGAAATGCAACTAAGCTACTATTTGTGAAAACACAAAATGCATGTTTTTAAATGTATTTTTAAAAACCAGATATACATAGATACATACAATGGGATGAGAACGAAGAGTCAGGGGAAAGAGGGAAATTTGATAAAAGGATCAAAAGGCACAGCTGAAACAGAGAAGCTTTGCACAAATGGGATAATGATTGCTATGAGCTGGGAAATAGGATTAACTTAAGTCCAACATCAAATGCAAGAAGATGCAGAAATCTCTGCATCAGGGAGGCCATTACAAACAAGAGCTTCATAACTCTTTGGCACCCTACCATCATCCCCATTCCAAAGCATCCTTACTCTTTAGAACTTCTGTAATTTAGCAGTTACTTATCTTTCCAGTCATCCTGACTTGGTGTTTGCAGTCCAGAAATCCAGAAAATACTGTGTTTCCCACACCCAGATCTTTAATCACGTTGTGTCTCCTATCTGAAATACTTTTGATCTTTCTTCGACTGGCTAACTCCTGTCACTTTTTTTAAATTTTATTTTACAATATAATTTAGTTCTACATATCAGCCATGGATTCCCTTGTACTCCCCCCTCCCACTCCCCTTCCCTTCTCTCAGTCCACCCCCCATTCCCATCTACTCCAGGGCAAAGACTCCCCCGAGGATTGAGATCAACCTGGTAGACTCAGTCCAGGCAGGTCCAGTCCCCTCCTCGCAGGCTGAGCCAAGCGTCCCTGCATAAGTCCCAGGTTTCAAACAGCCAACTCATGCACTGAGGACAGGACCCGGTCCCACTGCCTGGATGCCTCCCAAGCTGATCAAGCCAATCAACTGTCTCACCTATTCAGAGGGCCTGATCCATTTGGGGGCCCCTCAGCCATTGGTTCATAGTTCATGTGTTTCCATTCATTTGGCTATTTGTCCCTGTGCTTTATCCAACCTTGGTCTCAACAATTCTCGCTCATATAAACCCCCCTCTTTCTCATACAAACCCTCTGCATTCTTGCCAATTGGACTCCTGGAGCTCCACCCAGGGCCTAGCCGTGCATCTTTGCATCCAGTTCCCTCAGTCGTTGGATGGGGTTTCTAGCACAACAATTGGGGTGTTTGGCCATCCTATCACCAGAGTAGGTCAATTCGGGCTGTCTCTTGACCATTGCCAGCAGTCTATTGTGGGGGCATCTTTGTGGATTTCTGTGGGCCTGTTCTTGATCCAGCTGGGATCTCCTGCTCCCCTAAGCTCTCTTTCCCTCAATTCTCGCCCTTCATTACCCCCACTCACATCCAGGCTGTTCATGTAGATCTCATCCATTTCTCCGTCATTGGGCAATCCCCGTGTCTTTCTTGGGGTCCTGTTTTCCAGGTAGCCTCCTTGGTGTTGTGAGTAGCAGTCCAGTCATCCTTATTCCACATCTAGTATCCTCCTATGAGTGAGTACATACCATATTTGTCTTTCTGAGTCTGGGTTACCTCACTAATGATTTTTTCTAGATCCATCCATTTGCCTGCAAACCTCATGATGTCATTGTTTTTCTCTACTGAGTTGTATTCCATTGTGTATATGTACCACATTTTATTTATCCATTCTTCAGTTGAAGGGCATCTAGGTTGTTTCCAGGTTCTGGCTATTACAAACAATGCTGATATGAACATAGCTGAGCAAATGCCCTTGTGGTATGATTGAGCATTCCTTGGGGATATGCCCAAGAGTGGTATAGCTGGATCTTGGGGGAGATTGATTCCCAATTTTCTAAGAAAGCGCCATATTGATTTCCAAAGTGGTTATACAAGCTTGCATTCCCACCAGCAGTGGAGGAGAGTTCCCCTAGCTCCACATCCTCTCCATCATGAGGTGTCTTCAGTGTTTTTGATCTTAGCCATTCTGACAGGTGTAAAGTGGTATCTCAGAGTTGTTTTGATTTGCATTTCCCTGATAATTAGGGATGTTGAGCAATTCCTTAAATGTCTTTCAGCCATTTGAGCTTCCTCTGTTGAGAATTTTCTGTATAGTTCTATAGCTCATTTCTTAATTGGACTGTTGGGCATTTTGATGTCTAATTTCTTGAGTTCCTTATATATTCTGGATATCAGTCCTCTGTCAGATGTGGGGTTGGTGAAGACCTTTTCCCATTCTGTAGGCTGTCGCTTTGCCTTGTTGACCATATCCTTTGCTCTACAAAAGCTTCTCAGTTTCAAGAGGTCCCATTGATTGATTGTTTGTCTCAGTGTCTGCGCTACTGGTGTTATATTTAGGAAGTGATCTCCTATGCCAATGCGTTCAAGACTACTTCCTACTTTCTCTTCTAGCAGGTTCAGAGTAGCTGGATTTATGTTGAGGTCCTTGATCCACTTGGACTTAAGTTTTGTGCACGGTGACAGATATGGATCTATTTGCAGCCTTCTACACGTTGATATCCAGTTATGCCAGCACCATTTGTTGAAGGTGCTTTCTTTTTTCCATTGTACACTTTTGGCATCTTTGTCAAAAATTATATGTTCATGGGTGTGTGGATTAATGTCAGGGTCTTCAATTCGATTCCATTGGTCCACATGAAGGTTTTTATGCCAGTACCAACCTGTTTTTATTACTGTAGCTCTATAGTAGAGCTTGAAGTCAGGGATCGTGATGCCTCCAGAGATTGTTTGATTATACAGGATTCTTTTGGCTATCCTGGGTTTTTTGTTTTTCCATATGAAGTTGAATATTATTCTTTGCAGGTCTGTGCAGAATTGTGTTGGTATTTTGATGGGGATTGCATTGACTCTGTACATTGCTTTTGGTAAAATTGCCATTTTTACTATGTTGGTCCTGCCTATCCATGAGCATGGGAGATCTTTCCATTTTCTGACATCTTCTTCAATTTCTTTTTTTCAGAGACTTAAAGTTCTTGTCATATAGGTCCTTTACTTGCTTGGTTAGTGTTACCCCAAGGTATTTTATGTCATTTGTGGCTATTGTAAAGGGTGATGTATCTCTGATTTCCTTCTCAGCTTCTTTGTCCATTGTATATAGGAGGCTACTGATTTTTTGAATTGATCTTGTATCCTGCTATGTTGCTGAAGTCCTGTCAATTTTCAACTCAGCTTAATCCTGTCACTTCAAGAAAATTACCTCTGATTCCTCTAGCTGTGTTCAATTTATCTACCAGCTCTTAGTGGTATACAAGTATTTAGTCATATGATATTTCACTGAAATCAACAGTTTGTTATGCAGTTTTTAAATCTCTCTAGTCCTTCTTCTTGCTCTTTGTACCTTGGTGTCTGTCAATACCACCCCCATAATTCTGTGGGCTCTCAGATGTGATATGGTTTACCTGGAAGGCAGAACCTTATTTGTGTATTCGTTCACTTACATAAGAATCTCTTCAGAAAGGACTCAAGGCAGCACTTGCGAACTAAACTTCAGAGAAAGAGGGTGAAAGGGAATTAGAAATTCACTGGCCAGAGCAGCCCTCTATAGCCACAGAGATCTATCACAACAATCTCTGGACGAGTACAAAGGATGATGAGGGGTGAGTGTGATAATATGTGTGTGTGTGTGTGTGTGTGTGTGTGTGTGTGTGTGTGTGTGTGTTTGTGTGTGTGTGTATGAAATGCCATAATGAAGAACACTATGATGTGTTAATTGACATATGCAAATAAACTTCAGAAAACTGTATACATAGCATCATAAGAAAACTCCTAAACAAATCTGTCTTTATAAAACCAGGGAGTTTCATGAGAGATTAATAGAGACTATTTGAAAGTTTATGACTTTAAGATTTATAGACCCTCTATTGGAAACATTTGCAGTCAAGGGAAAATAAATGTTTCATTTAATCAAATTCTGTAATTTTGTTTTGAAAATTTCTCTTGAATTTTGAGATTATAATATAGTATACATAATTTCCTCCTTCCTTTTCCTCCCTCCAAACCTTCCCATGCACCCCTTCTTGCTCTCTTTCAAATTCATTGCTTTTTTCATCAATTGTTGTTTCATATATATATATATATATATATATATATATATATATATATATATATATATTTCTAAGTAAGCCTGTGCAGTCTGTACAATGCTACAGATGCTATATTAGAGTTAAGAGACACCTGAAATACTGAGTCTAATAGGATATTGTCTCTGTTTCCTGAATTGTCTTCTATCTTATATCATTCCATTTCTAAAAGAATCATGAAATTCTGCTTATTTTTTTAGCAGACTAGCTTATACTTATTTAATGATTGCAAACTATGATTTCATAAAATTTGTCTGGCTAGGAAAGCCTATACAGCCTGGGGAGATAGTTCAGCCAGTGAAGTGCTTATCTTATCGTCAGGAATACCTGAGTTCAATATCCAGAACCCATGTCAAAAAGTGAGCATATAGTTGTGTATTTATAATCCCAGTACTGGGGATCCTTGGGGCCGACTGGCCAGATTGGTTAGCTTATTTGGTGAGTTCCAGGCTGATGGCAGACCCCTGTCTCAAAAGCAAAATGTAAATGTCCCCAGATGTATGACAACTGAAGTTGTCCTCTGGCCTTTGCACACACGCACACACAAGCTGATAAGGAAACAGTTTCTAGTTCACATGGCTTAATAGAGAAAACCCCTGTGCTCCACATCCAGGTTGTCAGTTCTATAACACATATATATGTCATCTAGAGCAGTTCTATGGCATTCAGGTGTGGTGAAATGCTAAAAAGAAAAAAGATGGCCCTGTCCCTCATGGGAGAGCTGGTCCCACCCCTCAATGGCCCTGGGATAGCAGCCCAATGACTCCAAGACACAGGAGAGCTGGCCCTGCCCCTCATAGGAGAGCTCCCACCCCTCCACACACACACCACACTTGGGAAAGCTGGCTCAACCTCTCACCATGGTCCTGGGAGAGCTGGTTCCACCACTCTCCTGAGGGGGTGTGCTCCCAATGGCCCCTGTCAGACCAACTCAGCTACCACCGAGGCCCACATCCAGGACTTCGAGTTGGCACTCGCCAACATCAACCCCATCTATGACCTGCTGGAGCACGTGAAGGAACTGGGCCTGTGGAACCATAGCTGCAGCATCTTCACGACTCAGGACAATAGCAGGATATCTGAGAGGAGTTTCATTACGGGTCCAGTGTTGATGGTGTACGAGAAGCCAGAGGCCCTGAACCAGACCAACAACTCGTTACAATCGCAAGTAAAGCAGTTTGGACAAAAGGAAATGCTGCATGACACACGGCAGCTCCCAATGCCACTAAAAAGAATGATGGAGAGACTGAAGAGACAGAGGAGTGAAGTGGGTTGCTTTGTTTGTTTGGTTTGGTTTGGTTTTCTTTATTGTTATTGTTTGTTTTGTGTGTAGGTTTTTTGGGTTTCTTATTAATATTTTTATTTTTATTTCTTTTAAAATTTTTAAATATTCTTCATGGACCTGTTAACACTCTTTGCCTTCCTCTTGGACTAATGTGACACAAGCAAATCAATGCAACTCCAGGAAATCTTGGAAACATCTTCAATCCCTACTCAAACATCCCTGACAATTCTCTGGTACTTATTTTTCTAAGACCTGGTCATTGGGCTTTTCCTCTGATTTCAGGAGCTGCCTCATATTGTCCCAGTAAGGCTCTTTTTAACATGGAAGTCTGTGGTCTATTGCTTTCCTTACAAATAAAAACTATTTGTACCTGAAAATGAACATTCAAAAAACTACTTTCTGAAAACCCCAAGCTGGATCTGTTGTCTTTATTACCCTATGCAAAGAAGCAGAAAACATCCCCTCATAGGCCAAAAGAAATATAGGGAACAGATTAGAGAATAAACAGAGATCCTTACAAAAAAATCCTTTAGATCTCTAGATCTATTTAAACAAATTAAGTTTACTGTCCCATAATCAGTCAGGAAAAGTTTGGAATGCACACAAATTTTTCTTAGCCATTATTGTTGCATAGGCTATCAAAATGAACCATGAGCAATGATATAGCTCTCCCGGCACCCACTGATGTGGACTCACACAATAAAGATGCATGAAACTTAGTCCAAGAAGTAAGAACCATAGTAGCATAAGTCATCTTTTGATCATCTTCTATAGGTAGCTGTCTGAATCTCATGGACACTACTGATTATTGCTGCCAAATCAAATGAGAATTATTTCTTTAAAATGCTAATGTGATAGGCCTTATTTCTTTTATAGCTGCCTTATAAAAATAGGGCATGGATAAAACTTAGTTTGGATTCCTTAAGCTTTGCAAGCCTAGGCATCATTGAAATCTAAAAATGTTTCTCTTGGGGTAACTTTTCAGTCTACAGCACCTATTACACATATAGATAAAAATCTGCAGCTTCCAATTTCTCATTGTTAACATTTAAAAAGTAATGTTGAGATGATCATAAGCTTCACTGACCTGATTTTACTGGGTCTTAAAGTCACTTTCAGTTGTCAAAACTTTTTTTAATTACAAAAAGCTACATTTTCCAATAAATGAAATGTCAAACATTTTTGAGATTGCCTGAAGCAGACTTTTTAAAGTGTTGTGAGTTTTTATTTTTTTAGCTTTCCATTCGTGACTGTTTGGGGAACATTAAAGTCCTTATGTATACTGTCATCACCCCCCCATCTTTTTCAACAGTGTTGTCCTAGATTTTGTCCGGAGAAGACAGGTTTTGCCATCCCTCTGTAAGAATGTCACTGAGAACTCATTCTATTTTTCTGAAATAGCTAACTCTATGCTGGGTAGATCCTGTGAAAATAAAAAAGAAATTTTGCTTTTCTCTTTGGACTGGATGTCATGAATTTTTAAAGACATTAAGAGATCAAGGGAAAATTAGGAACACATTCATCTGTCAGTTTACTTTGTTTTATGACAAAAATATATTGTAGTTTGTCTAGACTAATCAGTCATCAGTGCAGATTTCTCATTGTAGCAACTCACTAATTAGCTATGCATCTGGAATAGACTACACAAATGCTTCCAGTCTTTTCACCTTTCTCTGTTACTATTTCTGCAATCAAAAGATGGAGTCTGAATCTCTACCCTTGGAATCAGCCAATCTTACAATTTGCTTTGCCTGCTAGAAAGCAGTGAAAGAGATATGGTATGATTTCCAGGCCTCAAGAGCCCACTCTTGTTGCTTTTGGAACCTGACACCATGGTGTAAATAGACATGAGTTAGTCTCCTGGTAGGTAAAAGACATGTGAAGGCATGTGCTAGCTGTCCCAGCCAACTCTCTACAGACAGAGGTGAACTCAGATAGTATGTAGAGCCAGGTTGCTATCAAAATGATGAGCTGAGTGTTTGCTATTCTAAGCCACTGAGTTTTGGAGTGTTTGTTTCAAAGCAAAAGCTAACTGACAGAGAAGTGCTTGAGCAGAGCACTCAAGGTCTCTAGGCTCAGTAAAATAAGGTAATTCAAAGAGAACTGCCACATTCTCTTGAAAATGTTCTTAGTAATATATTTACCAACCTCCTTAGTTCTGGGCATTTAAGTGGTAGAAAGCCAAATGAAAATCACACAATTATGTAAAAACATTCAATGTACATAGCATAGTCTGTGAAATGTTTGTAAACCTTAAAACATTTAGCAAAATTAAGAATTAATTATAAATACACAAAATTTAAAATTCAAGTTTGTGTAAGGAAAATAAATGAATATAAAAGTCTGTGAAGGAATGTCCCATACTGAGAAACGTTGAGTAACTATGAAAAAGAAACTAGGGGCTGGAGAGATGGCTCAGAGGTTAAGAGCACTGACTGCTCTTCCAGAGGTCCTGAGTTCAATTCCCAGCAACCACATGGTGGCTTACAACCATCTGTAACAAGATCTGATGCTCTCTTCTGGCCTGCAGTCATACATGCTGTATACATAATAAATAAATAAATCTTTTTTAAAAAAAGAAAAGAAAAAGAAACTAATTATTACTTCCATGTTCAAAAACCCATTTAATGTTCAGTTACCACATAGTAGTCAAAGTATCATTCTATCTTACAGATGAGTAAAGTAAACCTAGAGATGATAATTTGCCTGAATTTAAGCAGAATAAGACACAGTCATGAAGATACAAAGCCAGGTATGGTAAAACCTGCTGATGCAGAGGCTCAAAAGTTAAAGGATATTTTGAGCTACATAGTGAGTCCCCATCAAAAGAAACTAAATAAATGGGATGTGTATCAGGAATCTTAAAAGTTCTTATTAATAAAATCAAACCTGTGCCGGGCGGTGGTGGCGCACGCCTTTAATCCCAGCAGTCGGGAGGCAGAGCCAGGCGGATCTCTGTGAGTTCGAGGCCAGCCTGGGCTACCAAGTGAGCTCCAGGAAAGGCGCAAAGCTACGCAGAGAAACCCTGTCTCAAAAAAAGAAAGGGAGGGAGGGAGGGAGGGAGGGAGGGAGGAAGGAAGGAAGGAAGGAAGGAAGGAAGGAAGGAAGGAAGGAAGGAAGAAAAAACAGGATAGCCTCAGGAGGGCCTGGGTCAAAACCCACCAGCCCCTTCTGTCTCTATTAAAAGGCTTTTAAAGGAATGCCCAGGGGTGGAGCAAAAGACCTTTCCCCAGCACAGCCAAGTGCAAACCATCCCACACACCTGGTGACTATGCAGGTGGTCAATCTGTCCCCTAATGCAGCCCCGTTGTGTAAAGCAAACTCAGATCTCACTAGGAAACCTTTGTGGGCTCCCACATTTATTCTGTATATATTTAGTGTTTTGATTATTATGTAGCAAGTGGAATTTTTTTTTGGTCCAGTCTTGGTGTTCTGTAAGCTTCTTTTACCTTTATAAGTATGTCCTTCTTTAGGTTGGGAAAGTTTTCTTCTATGATTTTGTTGAATATATTTTCTATGTCTTTGAACTGGGATTCTTTCCCTTCTTCCACTCCTATTATTCTTAGGTTTGGTCTTTTCATGGTGTCCCAGATTTCATGGATGTTTTGTATTAGGAATTTTTTTGGACTTAACATTTTCTTTGACTGATAACTCTATTTCCTCTATCATATCTTCAAAGCCTGAGATTCTCTCTTCCATTTCTTGTATTCTATAGGTGATGCTTGCATCTATAGTTCCTGTTTGCCTACCCAGATTTTCCATTCCCAGAATTCCCTTGGTTTGTGTTTATTTTATTGCTTCTAATTCCATTTCCTTCACCTGTGTCATTGTTGTATCTTGGCTTTCTTTAAGGGATTTATTGATTTCTTCCATTTTGTTTGTCTTTTCCTCAATTTCTTTAAGGAAATTTTTCATTTCCTCTTTAGGGTCCTCTATCGTCTTCATAAAATTATTTTAAAGGTCATTGTCTTGTACTTCAGCTGCTTTGGAATGTTCAGATCTTGCTATTGTAGGATCACTGGGTTCTGGTCATGCCATATTGCCCTATCTGTTATTGAATGTGTTCTTACACTGGAACTTTCTAATCAGCATTTGGGGTGATTATAGGTCTTGGTGTTGATTCTTGTGCGCTTGTCTTCTTCAGATGGTTGTTTTGTTCCTTTATTATGTTTCCTTTATTGTCTTCTGGCCTGAATGGCCAAGAGTTCTGGTGACTGGCAGGTCTTCAGGTCCAGAAGGGTGTCTCAGCTGAGGTTTGTGGGGGTTTGAGTGCCTAGATCCAGCCTATCCTCCTGTTCTGCCATCTGGTGTGGGCTGTACATTTGCCTATGGAGTCTATTCTTGCAACTAGTGTGGTTGTGCCTGTGTCTATGAAGTCTGCTGGAGTTTGGGGGAAGGGTTGGCCACAGGGAGGGTGATGAGGTGGGAGGGGTTGGGAGGTAGAGTGGGGCTTGGGGGAACAGAGTTCAGTGGGTGGCGGCAGTGGTGGTGCAGCCTGCGGGCAAGTCTCTCACCTGCTGGCCAGCTGGTGGGGTCTGCTCCAGAGCAGTGGAATTTCCCCAGAGTTGAAAGCAGAGCCCAGCTGCCTTGCTGGTGCTGAGATGGGAGGGGGAGGGACACGTGATGTGCCCTGGGGCTTAGGGACTGGAGGTTGGGGCAGCTAGGCTGGGAGGCTAGTCACTCACCTGTTCTTCCAGCTGGTATGGTCGTACCTGTGCCTATGGAGTCTGCTGGAGTTGCAGGGAAGGGGAGGA